TTATGACATATGCATTTTGCTAAAAATACAACCTTACATCAAAACCATGGATGAATTCAAGAATCCATCTTGAGAGATAGTAGACAAAACAAAGTTTGCAAAGACCTGTAATCATCATTGATTGTGTGTCAAGTTTTGCAATTAAAAGTGGTAATTAGCTTGAAACATAGTTTCAAGCAATTAACAAAATGCTGGTTAAAAAATGTAGGGAACATGATTTTTGTGTGTGTCCAGCTCTGTTATATGCTAATGATGATATGCTGTTTCTGACAAGAATACTTAAGTTTAGCAATACAACACATGTGTACATGTTTTTCAAATTCTTTTTTTATGTAATGAAGCAGTCTGTTTGGTAATTTGCTTTATAAAAAAATTGAAATTTTTTTTTTATGAGGGTGGCTGAGTATTGAATCATTAGTCTACAAAAATAAAAAAAATAAAAATGTATCAGCTTTGTAACATTTCACTACATTTTTTTTTTGCAAGGTGGTTTTTTTATTAGAAAAAGTAGAAGAAAACATGGGTAGTGTGTGACTAATAAAGTAATTAAATTCACCAGAACTCTTACAGATTGAACTTTAAATGAGTCAAGTAAGGCGGGTTAAAAACTCATCTCTTACTTCTTCAATACAACAAAACTTTATTATTCTAAATTACAATGTTATGGTGGTCTTGTTATATGGACCAGAGACATGGAGAAACTCCAAGACCAGCACAGACAACATACAATTGACACATTTCTCAGACAGATTCTGAAATAAAGGTGGCAGGACAAAATGAATTAAATAGAACTGTGGAGAAGTACAAGACAGAAGACCAAGACATTGGAGATAAGGGGTCATCCATTTATGACGTCCACAATTTTTTTGGATTTTGGACCCCCCCCCCCCCCCTGTCCACAAAAATCCACTTTATTTCTTTATACAAGTCCATATGCGTCCACAAAAGTCAGTTTTTTTTTGGACACCCCCCCCCCCCCCGCGTGTGGACGTCATAAATGGATGACCCCTAAGGAGGAAGTGGTGCTGGGTGGGGCAGACATTGTGAAAGGCGCAAACAAATGTGACAGGTCAGGAGCTTGGGTGGAACCCCAAGAAGAGGCGAAAGATAGTGCGCCCAAGACACATGTGTAGGGGGAGTCTACTTGAAAATCTAAAGACAGGATGGATGTCTTGGGGAGACTGCAAACTTCACAGCAGTGGACTAGGCAAAGGGGGGGGGGGGTTATGGTTTAGGCCTTTCTCTCCACAAGGTCTAAAGAGGACTTTTGAAAACTGGAGCATGCAATGAAGTGAGGCACAGAACTACTGGGGTAAAAATCTGCACATTCCAATTCCTTTATTGGACACATAATCCAACATTTAATTTTATAGCTTGTTTCTAATCTCAATCCTATTTCAAATACTATAAAAATGAACTGTCATTTGGTAAAATATTTCAACTGTAACTATTTTAAAATTATTTTAGGGCTGACCATCCATAAAAGACAACATCAACTAGGAGTAGGGGGGTTGATTTTTTCAGTGTGGGATGAGGTTTGGGTTAAGATAGAGTGACTTTACACCAGTGGCGTAGCAAGGTCGGGTGTCACCCGGTGCGGCACTTAATGGTGTCACCCCCCCCCCCCAGAGGCGTAGCGACCCTTCCCGGGGATAAACTTTCAAATTTTCAATTTGCACCCCCCTAAAACTTTTGATTTGCACCCACCCCCCTCAAGTTTTTCTCTATATATTTTGCTATTTTTTGCCTTGGTGTCACCCCCTAAATGGTGTCACCAAGTGCGGTCCGCACCCCCGCCCCCCTCCCCTCGCTACGCCTCTGCTTCACACTAAGGTAGTGTATTTTAGCAGTTATTTAACCTTTTGTGTTGATTGTAATAAGAATTGATCAGTGTATGTCTACCTCATCTTGCCACACATACAAGACAAAATCAGTTTTAAATAGAAAAATTGTAACTGGGGGTGTGTGTGGGGGAGGGGGAGGTTGACAAGTGTGACATTTTGACTGTTAGTTACAATGATTGGAAATAGGTAGTGGAAAAATCTGACAAAAATATACTAATATAGCATGTCATCCATAATGACCCTTGGCTTAAAGTTAATGAGGCTTAATGTAAATTTTACTTTTGCAAAATACACAATACCACACCCCCACAAAAACCCTTTTGAAAACTGAATTAGAGATCTGGATTTTAGAATACTCTAGATCTTTAATACTAGACTAGATCTAGATCTCATGTCTCATATGAATATGAAATATTATGAAATGATACATATTGAGATTGAATATATATATTGAATATGGCAGGAAACAGATTAGTACCGGAAAATGCATATTCGATCTTCGCCGTTCATAAACTTTCTAACCAGACATCGTTCGGGGATTTTGTTTATACTGATAAATAGAGCAAGGTTTTTACAAGCTTCGTTAGCAACATTTTTGTGGAATACGTTTTTTATGACATTTTGTGCCGCGGCGAAGGATGCGAAGTATGCAAATCTGGACGGAATGGATCTACTTGGAAAAGTACGTGTACTGCACTAATAAGGTAAGAAATACTATTTTGTAAAAATAACTATTATTTTTATGGATTTTTCATTAGAAATGATTGCTGTAAATTATGAAAGTAAAAAAAAGTATATTTGAATGTGTTTTTTACTTTAATTTGAACAAAGTGAATGGCCATAATTACGACACATCGGCGTCGTTGAAAGCGGGGATTTCAGTTAATTTTTTACGGATATAAAATTGTATTTTTTTCCTCCGAGGCATGTACTTAAATAACAGTTTAGTTAAATGTATTTAATTCTGTAAAATATAAGTATTATTTTGCCGTAGATACTTTAAAAAATTTTTTCTATGATTTTCTGTCGGGGAAAATCGATATTCGCACCATGCACGCACGCGTAGTAAAACTAGACTTATCTTTAAAACACGAGAATCTTGAGTACACTGCGAATAACAAAGTTTTTAAATTTTAGTTTACTTTTGACTTTAAGCCATTTGTTTTAAATCGAAATTAATTGATAATGTAATTATTTCAAAGTAAAAATTTTCCGTCTGATTGGGTTCTAATCTTCGCCCACTGAACCAGCTTACGCACGACATTTGCGCGAGTCTGTTTCTTCGCAATAGTCTGTATAATGTCGAGGGCTAATTCTAAAAAGAATCGAGTCCTTACTAATCCAATGTTTATTAAAATTAGGTACAATTGTTGGAACGCATGAGAAATAACAAATTAATATTTCATTAAATCTATAGCCAAAAGAAAGTAGAACTTTATAACTCTGTAAATTATGAATCGAGTGACGGCTGTCGTGAAAACGGGAGCCAATTTACTCTTTTTTTTTAGGGTGACCTACTTTTATTATATAATTTTAAAATTCATCGATTTGATAAGCAGCTGAGTAGCTGACTACGCACGTTTTGGGATAGGGATCGAGTACACCATAGAATTTTTTTTTTCTTAGAACTAAGCGTATTTTTTTTAAAATCAAAAGATACTTACTATTACTTACATATCAGTTGTTGATTTCAATTTCATTATAGATCTAATCACTAACTTCAGTTTTTAAAAGTGATTTTGCATCTAGATCTAGCGTATTTTCAAAATTACGTAAATCTAGATCTATTTTTTAGATCTAGATCTACTTACTATTTGACAACCGTGTCAGTAAAATGAGGTCAGCGCTTCCAGATTCTTGGGTTTTAATTATGTTTGTCATTTTGATCTATTATAAGTAGCATTAAAACAACTGCATCTATTATCAACATTGTTTTTATATGCCAGTTCTAATTATACATTCTGTTCATTACCAATTCTAATGAAATCGTATCAGGCCCTAACACCCTGTTCACCTACACTCCTACACTGACACTACACTTGAAAGACGCCACAGAGAGTCGTAACTTTAAATTAATGTTTAAAGTACTAAACAATTATAATTAGCCATGTAAATGCTGCAACTATATTAAAAATTGGCATATAGACATATTTTATTAATTATGTTTTTTATATAGACCTTCTATATTTAACTCTGTTATTTTTTTCTTCCCCAGAGTGTTTCTAAAAGCCAGAATTTTAAAGGGGAGGGCGGTCGTTTTTTTTTCTCAAGAATAATTATAGAAATAAGCTATAAACTGGTATATTTTGTAAAGTTTGACACATTTACAAATAAATGTATGCCTAAGTGACATTTCTGTGTAATTATATTGTTAATTTTGTGAATTTCGTGGATTTTTAGACCTCACTACATTTAGATGTAAAAAAAAATCTCAGTTGAGTGAGTGTGGTTAATCTACATTTTGAACGTGATGTAAATGTCTAGTGCTATTAATTTTTATATTTTTGAATTCCTCGATTGTTAAGCAACAAAATTGATATATAATATGTCAATAATTGTTACTTTGAAAATTGGCGAAAATCGACCCTAAAAGTAGATGCTTGAGGGTTGAATCTGTTTCCTGCCATATAGAATCTATTAGTAATTAATTAGATCTAGAATCTAAAATCTAAATCCAAATTTTTATTATTTTTGTCAAAGAATTTTGTTAAACGTCGGGATCTAGATATCTACTCTAGTCTAGATCTAGATTCTATAGAAAAATAGATTTAGATTTCTGGATCCATGAATCATTTTTCATCGATTCACACATGAGTCATCTGGTAACACTACGTTCACGAGCATGAAAAACGAATTCTGAAAATTCAACATGTTAGCCTCGATTTTTAGAGCTAGGGGCCTATTATCTAGACTACATCTAGATTTCTAGATCTAGATCTAGGGCCTAGGTAGTATTATTGAACTATTAGATCTATAGATAGTTATTACTCTGTGATCCGTAAAAATTTAAAAAAAATAGATCTAACAGTATTAGTAAACAAAAAGGACGAATTACGGCGAAAATTTAAATTAAAATTAATATTTTTATTTTAAAATGATAAAAATTAAAAAGACTAGAATCTAGATCTAGGTAGAATTCTAGATCTATCTACTTACATTCTACAAAGTTGGATCTAGATCTAGACTCATGTTACACAAGTTTCATCCTAAAAGAAAAAGAACAACAAAGCAATTTTTCCAAAGCGTCTCTTTCCACACACTCGGTTGAAGCGACAACCGGTGCGACGTAGGCCTAGCAGATGTCAATAATATTTAGGTCACGTGACAGCTCATTTGGCGTTGTGATGGACGCTTCGAGCCGGGAAAGGTGTGTTAGTAGAATGATTGATACATGATATTATTGATATGATATCACGATAGGCCTAGTAAATGTTTGAAAAATATCCAGTATATATAGATCAATATTTAGGCCTATCTATATGACACAATATCCACAGGCATTATGTTTATTGTATTTAAATTTGTTCTTTTCCCACCAGCTATCCATCGCGTAGGAGCCGTATCGTCACAATAGTCATATAGGGGTGGGGTGGGGGAGAAATTGGGGGGGGGGGGGTTGAAACTGCACCGCACTGTGGGTAACACCACGATCAGTGGCGTAGGCACCCATAAACCCCTCGGTATATATATATATATATATATATATATATAATATATATATATATATATATATATATATATATATATAAAGTATGAGAGGGGGGTGCAAATCGAAAGTTTGAGGGGGGGAGGGGGGGGGGGGTTAAAATCGAAAGTTTGAGGGGGGGGGGTGCATGGAAATCAAAAGTCTGGGGGCGGGAGGGGGGGGGGGCTGCCAATCGAAAGTTTGTCCCCGGGTAGAAATTGGAACCCCCCCC